AGTCTAACGAAGTTAAGCAGTTACACTGAAGTGATGAGTGACAGTGATAGAAAGGTGTAAAATGAATTTACACAGTAGCAGACGACATAACCTACACAGTAATACACTACAGTAGTCTAGGATGAAGACTAGTCACTGTCTATGTCAGATATTATTTAGACCCAACTACAAGTATTCCCACAGGGCCATATGGCAATAACAGCACTAATTCTATCGTGACCCTGTGATTTATTTAATTTGAGAATTTTTAGTTATTTCGGTTATTTTATTAGGAACAGTGGGATTAAAAAAACAGTATTGAATTTGAAGGTTCAGGAAGAAATGTAGCAAAATTTTCATTCGGTGTATTAAGTTTATTTGCTAAATAAGGTCCTATGTTTACAAAATAGGAATTAAAGGTATCGGCTACATCTTCAGACTTTATAACTGTATCATCTATTGTAAAATTAACATTGGGCAATTATTTTTTTTCTCCATGAAATCATTAATAATCCTCTAAGTAGATTTCATATTTGATTTCACTCTATTGAGTTTGTCGGAATAGTACATTTTACGAAAATTTCGAATGATGTTAGTTAATTTATTTCGGTATGTTTTCATATTTGTTTTTGTTGTGAATAGTTGAGTTCGTTAGATAAGCCTTATAGGCCCGAATTCACAAAGGGGGTTTGTCGACAAACCTTGGTTTTCGTACGTCATATGACGCGTTTTTACGGGTGTTTTACAAACCTGGTTTGTAAAGAACAAAAGGAGGTTTGGCGAAACAAAAGGAGGTTTGTCGACAAACCTCCTTTGTGAATTCGGGCCATACAGTTTATTCCTTGCGTGTATCGATTGTAGCATTGCTTTTGTTATCATTTCGTCATATTGTACGCATCCCCTTTGCATTTATTCATATACATAATTACTGGTTTTTTTCATCGTAAGCTTGGCAAGCTAGGAGTGTCAGTTATTTGGGCTAGCTTAACCCATTGCTTACTGGAACCTGGTAGTCCCTGTGTTGAGTCTATGGGAATTAGATAATTCAGTAGTCAACGGCTTAACAGTGGAATAATTCAGAAGTCAACTTTCTTAAAGGGATCCGGTAACTTTGTCTCAGATTCTGAAATAAAATTCTGGATTTAGCTCATGATGCAATGATAATTATAAACCTTTAGGTCAGTCAGGAACCCCATGACTTTTACAAGCCAATCGCCTGTCTGATTATCAAGAGATTTATGATTGGAATTACAAATTTTGAAAACCGTTCGCCTGACGGTTTTAATAACACTACAGTCTATTGGGGAAAACGAGTATGGTAAAACCAGTCACTCAAAGATTTTTACTTGTTTGAGGCACTTCTTGATCATTTTGAAGCGCAATTTTTTTAGGGCTTCAATATTACATCATATCACAGACAATGATAACACGTAGGGCCGTGTATCTCAGATTTACCACTGTTAAACGATCCCTTTAATGTAAACAAAATGATACTGAATGTATCGAGAAGACTATACTAATCCATACAAATGAGACTTTGATCTTGTATACATGGGTTATCACCACTTGTCATATTTGTGTTCATTTGATTGGCTTTTTATATTTCCTTTCATTTAAAAGGATAGTTTAGTTCTGTTACAAAGAGCGCTACACAAAATATTTGTGTGTGAAATAATGAAAAAACTTAGTCTCAAATTTGAAAGAACATACAATTGAAATGACAAAAATCATCTTTGTTTGATCAAAATCGGTTCAGAGACGGCTGAAATATTCATAAATATAATGGTTTCAAATACGTGTGTACTGGTGTACCCCCACAAATATTAGATAATTTTAAAAAGCCGTTGAAAAACAAAATAGCGCCTTTTACGTCGTATTTCAGCCAATGCCGATGTTGGCTTTTTTGTTGGCATGTTTGTGTTGGTTATTTTACGCATAACCAGCCTGCCCATATATTGTTATTTTTAATTAAATGATGAATTAACGGTCACCGTATTTTTTTGAAAGTGGAGCTGAATTAGTATGATCGTATTGGCTAAATTTCACCCATTTTGGGGTCTAAAATTACCTTCATATCAATTTTAGGTTCTAAAAGGGCACTAGAAATGTCAAAGATAAGAATAAAAGCAATAACCATGCACTTTGAAGGCATTTGCGGTCTGTATAAAGAACTCAACTATCCCTTTAAAGGAATGTTTAGCCTCTTTTTATTTCGATATAATTATTTTATTTGATATAACTCCAATAGGTTTAGTGTTTATTTCATGTATAATTTGTTTATTTATTGATTGATTGATTTATTCATTCGGTTTAAAAACATCAACACGTAAAGTTCAGGAACTCATAATAATTGATTTACAATGAAATTGAATAGTGTAAACAAAATTGAACCAAAATATACACACTTAAAGAAAAACATGTAATTTTACACACATGGAAATATGGTTAAAATACAATATTCAACGGCTGGCTACATGTAGCTAGACCAAGGCGAGATATGACGAGGAAATCAAAAAGAAGAGAAATGACGAGAGAGAGAGAGAGAGAGGGGGACAGGAAAGGGATGGTAGAAAGAAATAGAGAGGGGAGAGGGAAAGAGATGGGAGGGGAGATACGGAGGGGAAGTGAGGGAGAGAGAGAGAGAGAGTGGCGAGAGAGTAAGAGAGGGACAGGAAAGGGGAGGGTAGAAAGAGAGAGAGAGAGAGAGAGGGGGGGAGAGAGAGAGAGAGAGAGATAGAGAGAGAGAGAGTGGCGAGAGAGAAAGGGAGGGACAGGAAAGGGGAGGGTAGAAAGAAAGAGAGAGAGAGAGAGAGAGGGAGAGTTAGAGAGAGAGAGAGTGGCGAGAGAGAAAGGGAGGGACAGGAAAGGGGAGGGTAGAAAGAAAGAGAGAGAGAGAGAGGGGAGAGGGAAAGAGAGAGGATATATGGAGGGGAAGTGAGGGAGAGAGAAGGAAGAGAGAGAGAATAGAGAAAGAGAGAGAGAAGAGAGATAGGGAGAGAGAGAGAGGTATAGAGAGAGAGATAGAGAGAAGGGGATAGAAGAGAGAGGGAGAGAGAGAGAGAGAGAAAGAAGAGATTTTTAATTGGCAAAAGAAGAAACAAGATAGAAAAAACGTAACATCGATACATTTCTTATAAACATCTACAATTATAAGATAAACCATATCTCATCAAATGTTAACAGCTGTGCACGACAAACAAATGATGTTTTTAGTATGATGCAATTCTTGTTAGAATGATCTGCCTCACTGTTTCATTCATTTGTATTTGTAGGGACAAGACTGTAAACATCTGGCAGAAATCCTGCTCGTAATATGTCACATTTGCTGAGGCAAGAAAAACATTATGGTCTGAAGAACAGGATGTACGTGAGGGAAATCAGCCAGTATTCAGCAATCTCATATAACAGTATAATACCCGCAAGTCTAAAATTTTCCAACATTAACACTTGTATAATTACACACAGTTTAAGGTTCACAGAACACTATCCCATGCCCCCCTACTTTCTCCTCCTCAAACAAGAACAGGAGACCGGGCATTTCTTCTATAAGGGAGTTTACAGATACAATCTGCGCATGGGCAGATTAAGGTCGTTTGTACCAAAAAGGTCAAACCCACATAAATGAATACTGGATATGCGCTCATGAAAGTTATGTAACATTATTCATGTATGCACCCACTGTACATTCTATGATACGCAGGTGGAAGTATTCTTTTCAAGAGGGCAAACAAAAGGTATTCATGAAGCACATCTAGGACTTTGGCAGTTATTATTCTCATATGCTGAAAGTGGAACTTCTCCATGTGTAAAAGATCTTTGGATATTTGGGGTCATTTGTACCCTGTGCTATCTGTAAACTCCCTTATTGCTCCTCGCCTGTGGAATTCTCTCCCAACATCTATTCGCGAAATTGACAACCTGGACCTCGTCAAAGCTTCAATGAATATCTTCCTTCAGACATTTAATGCTAATTTTATTGGAGGAGCTCGCGCCTTTGAATTTTTTTAAACATATATATGGCGCTAGTCAAATGCTGTTCATCATCATCATCAAACGAATAATTAATAACAAAGCATTTTTAAATGGCAAAAGAAGAAACAAGATAGAAAAAACGTAACATTAATACATTTCTTATTAACATCTACAATTATAAGATAAACCATATCTCATCAAATGTTATCAGCTGTCCACGACAAACGAATGATGTTTTTAGTATGATGCAATTCTTGTTAGGAAGATCTGCCTCACTGTTTCATTCATTCGTATTTGTAGGGACAAGACTGTACACATCTAACAGAAATCCTGCTTGTAACAGGACCCATTTGCTGAAGCAAGACAAATATTATGGTCTGAAGAACAGGATGTACGTGAGGGAAATCAGCCAGTATTCAGCAATCTCATATAACAGTGCATAATACCCGCAAGTCTAACATTTTCCAACATTAACACTTGTATAATTACACACAGTTTAAGGTTCACAACCTACTTTCCCCTCCTCAAACAAGAACAGGAGACCGGGCATTTTCCTCTATAAGGGAGTTTACAGATACAATCTGCGCATGGGCAGATGAAGGTCATTTGTACCAAAAAGGTCAAACCCACATAAATGAATTCTGGATATGCGCTCATGAAAGTTATGTAACATTATTCATGTATGCACCAACTGTACATTCTATGATACGCAGGTAGAATTTTTCTTATCAAGAGGGCAAACAATAGATATTCATGAAGCACATCTAGGACTTTGGCAGTTATTATTCTCATATGCTGAAAGTGGAACTTCTCCATGTGTAAAAGATCTGTGGATATTTGGGGTCATTTGTACCATGTGCTATATGTAAACTTCCTTATTGCTCCTCGCCTGTGGAATTCTCTCCCAACATCTATTCGCGAAATTGACAACCTGGACCACGTCAAAGCTTCAATGAATATCTTCCTTCAGACATTTAATGCTAATTTTATTGGAGGAGCTCGCGCCTTTGAATTTTTTAAAAACATATATATGGCGCTAGTCAAATGCTGTTCATCATCATCATCATCAAACGAATAATTGATAACAAAGCAACATAATACATTTTGTTTTAATTTAATTTTATTTATTTGTTCATTCACGGTAAAAGCCTAGTTCAGCTGATAAACTTAAAGAAGAGATTGTTAACGTTCACTCACTCTACTATCACACCAAACAAAGAATGAAAATCAAAGAAAGATTGTGGATTAAGACAGCCTATCAGGCGTCACACTCCATACAAGTGAACGTTCTCAGCCCCTTCATACACAGGCATCTTTGCAGTTTTGCCCTTGGCTTTGGAATTCTCACCAGACCAGAAGTATTGTCTGTCAACGCTAATTAGTTTCTTGGAGGCATCGAAATGGGAATGCTGTAACATTTCGTAAACCAGTCGACATATCTGCGTTAACAAAAAGAAAATAAAGTATGCAAGTTGTCATTTCTATTATAATTAGCTATTTTTAGTTTAGGAATAGGGCATTACCTTGTGAGAACTTGACACTTTCTATTTAAAAAAAAAAGAAAAAAGAAAAAAGATTGCTTGTGAGTATTCAAACAGTCACAACTGGCCGTTTATGATATGTGGGCATGGCATTTTATGATGAAACAAATCCTAATCAAATGATTGGTCGAGAGCGTACACGTGACCAGGCATTTATTACACGTAAATTGAATAATGACCGGTCATTAGTAAAATCATGTTTTAAAACAATTAAAACATCATCTTATAAAACAAATAATACACATCATTTTGTTCGGGCACTAGTAAAATTACCCGCACTCGGTACCTTCGAAACACCCTCGGCTATCGCCTCGGGCGTGTTATACTGTTCCAAAAGGACCTTGTGTGTGTAATTCTTAATGCCCTCACTGCTGTGTATTATTTATTTGTATAATATTATATTTGCCTCATTTTACATCATTTTTTTAGCGAGGATTATGTTTTACCTATATATCCAATGTGCCGTTTTTCTCCTGAAGGAAGAAGTACGATTTTGGACATTTGATACGGGGAAGGGGAGTGTGAAGGGGGAGGGGATGACGTGCACTGCAAAGGGAATACTATTTACCAGCGTTCTGTCTATAATATTCTCAAAACCCCTAATCGAATCATTCAAGTGAACAAGTTTAAACATTTAAAATCACCCACCCCTCCCTCAAGTGTACTTGAATAATGATAATACAATAATAATAATAAGAAGAATAAATCGGTAAAATGTTAGACTTTTTCAAGTTGATCGGAATAAAATGAATAGATAGATAAATGAGAAAATGAAAGAATTAATAAATAGATAACAATGATAATATAACATGGAAGATACATACATTTGAAGATAACGTGCAAACAACAAAATCCGAGCGAGCCAGAAGATGAAGGTCTATGATCATACCCATCAAAGATTCCTCGGACTGTCTTAATGATACACTCGCTGACTGAGATATATTATTATCACTCACAAACACATATCCAGGATATCTGTCAAAGAATAAAATGCAAACAAATTAAATCAATCCTTTTCAGGACTACACACCCTCAAGAAAGATAACCTAGAGTCCTTTTCATTACTCCTCAATCCTCCCTCTCTTTCTCACATGGCGCATCCGCAAGCCTACTATATAAATTAAATCATGTTGCAAATTACTTCTTAGCGTATTCGTAGTCGAGTAGTTTAGATAATAGAATGACGAAGGTCTTTGGATCGAGCCCGTTCAAAGAACTTCATAAAATGATAGTGACAATGTGATTTATTCGAGATATGTAATTTCATATCTTCGTAGCATTTTATTGATTAAACTTTATGAATGTTTAGACTTTTCAATAAAGTTTGGAGAAAATATAAACATTATCTATAATCGATTATAGTAATAATTTGTAACATTCATTTTTGAAATCGAAATGAATTTTGTATTCATTGTTAATACTAATATATATTTGGATTAATAATAATGATACATTTCATTTGATCAAATTGCAATTTATAATGCTGGGTTGAAGATTTTTTGTTGTCGTTATTTTCATCTAGTCGACATTAAGAAGTTTATATATATATATATATATATATATATATATATATATATATGTATACATATATATGTATGAATTCAATGTTGCAGTAGTGCTTTGGTACAATATGGCATTTAGCCACGATAGGTGTCCTAAACTCACTTTTTCCTGGCTTCATAGAGCAGACTGACCTCGTCTGTTGCTAAGAAGACTCTCCTGACGGACACTTCTTTTCTCTTCTCCAATTCCTGGTAGTATTTTTCGACATGGTCCATGTACTCCTCGATTCCGTGAAATTTGGCTTCCCCCTTGAAGTTGTTTTTGGCGTTCCGGCTCTTGATTTTATCTGTCCGCCTGACCTGAATGCTTTTTTTTTGTGGGGGGGGGGAGGGGGAGGGGGAGATAATTGAAAAAGCCACCTAGTCAATAGTCAATAAGATGCTTGAAATAAGTCTGCCCCCTCAGCTCTGTTTTGTTCTGACTGGTTAAGCTAAAAATACACTTCAGGTTAAAACAAGTCTTAATCATACTACACGTACATTGCTCTATACTATGTACTATTTGGCAACATGAGTTATTGTGTGATATACATTAACCGATGTTAAATGGTAGTATAGAGCTGCAAAAAGAGTTATGTTAGTTTTAGCAAATGAAAAGATAATTAGACCTTGCTATTGATCCAAAATTCCATTATTAAATCCATACTAGTACAGGGGGGGGGGGGGGTGTTTCACAAAGATCCTAAGTAGAACTTAACTCTATGTTGGACTTAAAAATTATGGACAGCAATTGGAGTCCTAAAATGAAATATATTCAAAAAACAGAAATTCAAGTATTTTAGACTTTTTATAAATTCCACATCCAGAACATGAAATCTCCTTGATGATAGAAAATATGAATGATTTGAATAATTTATTAATGCCTTTCAAAATAACTTTTACAAAATATTTTCAAAGAAGCTAATGGCTTTCCATAATTTTTAAGTCCAACTTAGAGATAAGTTCAACTTAGGATCTTTGTGGAACACCCCCAGGCCTAGGCCTAAGTTAAAACAGGCCAAACGCGTTTTGACCAACCGCGATGCTTAAATACTAGAGCTATTTTATAGTGGCTCACTCCCGCCACCCATCCTCTCGAATCAGCGCTAAGAAAGATAACCGACAGTCCTTTTCAGGACTACACACCCTCAAGAAAAATTTTCAGGACTCCTCAATCCTCCCCTCTCTCACATGGTGCATCCGCAAGCCTACTGTATAAAACGTAGGCGATAAACCGACTCATGCCAAGGCATGCTCTTTCTTATCGGTTTCTACTCAGCCTTTAAATGTTGATATGGTTAAACTTTAGCGTGATTTCGGCGAAACATAGCATCTTGCTAGCTGTAGCAACAACAAAAAATAAACTCCGATTCATTTCGTATTCTGTGTTGCTACAGCAGACAGCCAGTGAAAACAAATTCATTTAATACAATTATGGAAATGCGAGCATAGCTTTAAACACACAGAACTTTGTTATTTCTGGCTCATTTGTCGTGATTGAGGTGTCATATGAAAAGACTGAAGATAAACTTTCTAGAAATGTGATATTCTTTTCAACAATTAGATACCGTACGCCAAATGACTTTTTGGTACCCTTTTAATATTCAAACTGTTTTTAATTACTCATGCATACGAGTTCATCAGATGAAAGAAGAGGGTCTAAGCATTAAAAATACGTGTCGTTTATTAACTATAATTATGATTAAGTTATGATAAAACATCGATAACTCTCGATTTCGTTTTTTCTGGGACGCACTTTATAATGGAAACGAAATAGCGACTATTTTCAGGGGCTTATGCACCGTTTTACACTTAAAGACCTTAACATTCGTCTCACCCAACGATCGGATGAGTGAATCCTAAGGCAGTTGTCTTATTGTCAATGAATTCTAGGGTTTGAGGCTGAGGTTTCAGAATATAGGTGATGATTTGTCCTATCCACCAGATGAGGGGTTTACTGTGGACTCTCATCAGTCTCTCAGAGATGTCTTCAGGAATCGCCAAAGGTAGGAAGTCTGGCTTTGTGTTCGTTTTTGCAAAGTCTGCTATGACGGGGATTTTCACCACTTGGATGCTATCATTTCCATCAGGAGCTTTACATGAAAAAAAAAAAAAGATGCATGCATTCAGTTGTTATATATTTCTACCGATTTCTACAACATATTGCATAATTTTCCATTATTTATTGATTTTTCACAATCATCCATCATATCATCTGTCTATAATCTCTGTTTACTTAAGCCCTCATCACACCAAACTAGTTCTTACTACGTTCTCGAAAATGTTGCCAAACGGGCTCAGACTGAGATGGACGAACTACGAACGGACTGATTGCCGTACTATGAAGGATATAGGATCGAAGTGCGGTTATTCCGTTCGTAGTACGTACATCTCGTTTTAAGTACGTTGTCACCACGTCTAATTGCCGGACGGGGAAAATTTTGAACATGCTTAAAGTCCTAGATCACCCTTCCCGACCAAGGAGTTCTTAAACAGATCGTAAACAGTGGCTAGTACGTGTGATGGGGGCTTCACTTGAAAGTATTGATCTGTACAGCTTGGAGCGTTGCAGTTGAACAAGAATGAGCAATATTATTATTAGTACACTGTCGCTCATAAAGGTGGAATATTTTAGTTTCACACCAATTTACGGAATTATTTTTAAAAATATTTAAAAATAATAGATCTAGATAAAAGTATACATTCTCAGATTTTATTGAATAATAACTTGCCAAGGTGTGTTTTGCGGAACTGCTAAATCATGTGTATGCTACTATGCTTATTAATTAGGGGACCTACGCTCTCAAGTCATAAATGACAGTAATGAGGATTAATGCCCCACAAAAGGGCACTAATATAGCACATCGACACGGTTTTGATCCTGGGGCCTCACAGTTATGAGGCCATTGTTTTGTCACTGAACCATGACTGTACGCAGCGGGGGCTAGGGTAGGGGGCAGTTTCCATAAATAAAAAAAACCAAAAAAAATGCAATAAATTTTCAATAATTGATTGCATTTTACCCCGGTCCCCAACATAAAAAAAAATCCTCTGGAAGGCCATGCATCATGTCTCAAGGCAAGGGCACACAGAATTTTGTTAATGTTAGGCACCGGGGTTAAATGCAATAAATTATTGAAAAGGTATTGCATTTTTTTTTTAATTTATGGAAACTGCCCCCTACCCTAGCCCCCGCTGCGTACAGTCATGGTTCAGTGACAAAGCAATAGCCTCGTAACTGTGAGGCCCCAGGATCAAAACCGTGTCGATGTGCTATATTAGTGCCCTTTTGTGGGGCATTAATCCTCATTACTGCCATTTATGACTTAAGGGCATAGGTCCCCTAGTTGATAAGCATAGTAGCATACACATGCTTAAGCAGTCACGCAAAAAACACATTGGCAAATTATTATTCAATAAAATCTGAGAATGTATACTATTATCTAGATCTATTATTTTTAGATTATTTTTAAAAGAATTCCATAAATTGGAATAAAAAAAAAATATTCCACCTTTATGAGCGACAGCGTAGTATTATAATTATATTATTATAAATATTATTCGAAACAATCTAATGTACCGTTTCAGGATACCTACTTGGCCACTTAGTGTAAGCTGTGGTCTCTACTTGTCCATCAAGGCAATTCTCACTGAGGGGGCGAAAGAACTTGTCCCATCCCCCTGGGGAATAGACCCATTCCGAGGAATTAAGGATGAGGGTTCTCTCACTGCCGTATGCCATAATCAGGCAGAACGACAAATGATGAACGATGGATCCGAATCCAACGCGATGGCTTAAATCGCACACGATCTTTTTGGCTTTTCTGCAATCTGGAGGATTCTGGTGAAAAAGATATGAACGATGAAACCACAATTTATTGATTTGAACACAATCACAACGACTTAAATAAAATATAAAAAATATATCAATAACCTATTTTATTGCCCTCCGTTAGAAATCAAGTTCGCATGAAGACATTGTACTTTTCGCACGTTTTTAATGGCAACGTCATGTAATGCTATTTAAATTGCCTTTGTGTCGTTGACCAATAGCCTGATGACATCATCACTGACATAAATACATGTATCTCCTGGCAAACTCGAGGAAAAAATGCCCAACTACATCTCTGCCTATTACTATACCTGAAGGAAATGGAGTCTCTGCTGTATAAGATTTGATAGATTCCTCAACTCGCCTTCTTGCCATGATGAATTTCCATCCACTTGACTTAGAGTGTTGTTATCTGACACGATGGGCCTGGGTGGAAATTTAAAAGATATAAAAGCTGATGAAAACACACTATTCCTTTATCAGAAAGACACCAACCGATGAACACATTCCCAAACAAAGATTATGTGGTTCTTCGTGTAAGACCATGTTCATTTACAAAGGGTCATGAAGTTTAAATTGAAAGAATACAAATTAATTAAGGAAACAGACTGAGGTTCTTTCAACTGATGTCCAAGTAGAGTTAACATATGGACAGTCCATTAAAAAAAAATAGCTCTGTTTCCAGGTGTTTTTTTTCTCTTTCTCTCAGTCTGTATCTCTCTTCTCCTCTAGTACATCCTTCCTAAATATGCCATTGTATATCAATATGATTCTGATAGACAGAAAGAAAAAAAGATTGTCGAAATGAGGGTAAGGTCAAAAATAATACTTTTGTTCTTCGTCAGGTTTTCCTCGGTTGTGGAGCTCAGGGCGAGGTGATTTCTGCTTGGAAGACTTCATGTGCTGGATATACCGAGGAGATATATCTCGTTCAAATACGATGAAACTGCTGATAAACAAGACTAGCGTAATCACCAACAACACCTTGTACCTGGTATCCATGTTCATAACTCTCCCGTGTTAGACAACCAAACCGATTTCTGATTTCTGCATAATAGATTTAGATAATGACAAAGACAGTGTTAACTTAAAAAGAAGGTTGAGTTCTGGGAAGAGGTGAAAAATAATTTGTGAGCGTTATCATTCTTATCATGCAAATGTGGAAGAACATCAGATAAGACATATTCCCTGAAAAGCATGGCTCTTCAAATGCCTTTATATTCTAAATATGTCATGTAACTCGTAAAAGTCGGGGGGTAAGTTTTTTACGCCACGTGTTCGTGTAGTCCCATATGCATCTTTCTGTGTACAGTGTTTGTAACTTTACCAAGACTTGGCCAAATTTCTTATCATTTTGATGATTTCAGAACCTTGCAATACACACGAATTCTTATATGTTAGATGATCAACCTTTTCTGGTTGATTTCACACCGTTTCTTTCTCAATGCAATCGCATGACAAGAACTCAACTTCATCTTTAATCTGTATCACCAACACAATGTCAAAGGTAGGGGACATTTAAGTTGTCTTGAAATCAGAAGATCGTTTTCTCCTCGTTCTCCTCCTGCTCGTTCTATTTTTTCTTCTCCTCCTCCTCCTTCCATCCTCTGTTGGAAGAGGGTACTGTCGTATTTAAAACATACTATTTCGTTCTTGATTAAACGCTACAAGTGCATTAAAATTAACTAAACTTGAGCAGCAAATGGGCTAGGCTGATTTCTTGGAAATTGTCTTAGTATTACAGTATGAATTTCAAGTGGAGGTACTAGAATAATGAAAACTGCCTATAGCATTCACTTAGGTGAATCCCTGGTCGGGTTACAATGTTTGCGTTTACTTTGTTTCTGTTGTCCTTTGTCTTAGAGTTTGAAAAAAGTTAAATTAAAACTAGGAAAATTATGATTTTGAAGGGTGCAATTAATCAAACACAAACATGCAACTGCTTAAACTCATATCACTATGTAAGAAAACAAATTCTAGTGCTTCATTTCGCTTTATTAACATCTGGCAATGTGATCACTTTTTGCTTTCCCTGTTTTAGCCTCTAACACTTCCTCTCACAAACATATAATTACACCCCGTACTATAAGTCTACTCACATACACTCGTTTTTTTTAAAACATTCATATCATAGTTATGTCTGAACAATTCAGACATTTTCATATTCGAAACGATACACAATATATCTCACCCGATACGCTGGTCAGCTACTATTCTAACTTCCGTAATGTCAATTCCAAACGCTCGTTGACAACGTAGAGAACCCGTCGAAAATGAGCATTTTTTAGGGAAGTTCTAAATAAGTATTATCTTTCAAATGCCGTTGGAATTTAATCTTTTCATTTTTGATGGCCTGCAAATGGGACATAGTACCTTTAATCAGAACATGCGATCACCATAATTTTCCTTTTCCTGTTAGCCTCCACCTCCTATCACAAACGTATAACAACACCCGGTACTACTCACATGACACTCGTTTCATTTTGCAAACATTCATATCATAGTTCTGTGTTAAAAATCCAGACAATTTCATACTTAAAACGATACACAATATATCTCACCCGATACACAGGTCAGCTGCTATTCTAAGTTTCGTAATGTATATTCCAAAAGCACGTTGACAACGTAGAGAACCCGTCTAAAATGAGCAATTTGTCGGACGAAGAAAAAAATCACCGATATCAATTTATCATTTGTGCATCCGATTTAATCAAGATAGCGCATAAATGGATATTGTCCATCTTCAAACTAGTGGCATTCATATAAAGTAAAACAATTAATAGCAACATCAAACGTAGTTTGCATGCATTGCAAAAACATGACGGACAAGAACAAAAATATTGTGTCAATTCTCGATCTCGCCAATACGGAAGCGTTAAAGTGCCATTCTACTTGAGGACATGACGAGATATTTCATCTTGTCAAGTCGACTTAATATCCATATCATGTCGACATGTAAAGATATTTAACCTACCATGTCGACTTATCAACTTTTATTAGTCGACATGGCGAAATAAATTATCTTGCCAAGTCGACTTCACAAAAAGTTCCTGTCGTCATGACGACATAAGTTATCTTACCAAGTCGACTTCTAAAACATACATGTCGTCATGGCGACATATATTATCTTACCAAGTCGACTACCCAAAAAGTAATGTCGACATGGCGAAATAAATTATCTTGCCAAGTCGAGTTCACAAAAATTTATGTGGATATTATGCAGTGGCGTACCTGGGGTACTCCGTCAGGGGGGGCAAGCGACCGAAACAAACAAAAAAGGCGATGCTAATTTTCACTTCTGGCGAGCGAGCGAGCAAAAAAAATCTTTAAGTAACGTTTGGTATATAAACTGGTATTGTTGCAAGTTGGGGGTGGGAACATTCACTTGTTAGCGACGTTAATTTCATTTTTTTGCAAACGAGTGTAGCGAGCAAGAAAAAAAATCAGTTCTTTTTTAATAATTGCCACTTAAACTTGGTTCAATTGTCCCATGCAGGGCGCGGGAACAATATTGTGTTTAGGGTGATTTTATACCCATTTTAGCTAGCGAGCGAAAATACATCTTTCTCTCAATGAATTGCTATATAAAATTTGTTTCATTGTTGCAGGTAGGGGGCGGGCACAATCGTGTTTAAGGCAATGTCAATCCCATTTTGGCGGGCAGGCAACCCCCTATATTTCTCTTTTTAATGATATTGTAGCAGGTTAGTGGATAATTCCACGAGCTAGCGAGCGTAGCGAGCGAAAAAAAATCACTTTTCTTTTATAGGGAAAATATGGTACATAAAACTTGGGTTCATTGTTCCATGTCAGGGACGTGATTATTAAAAGCGGTGTTATTTCTATTTTGGCGAGCGAGCGAAGCGAGCGAGCAAAAAAAAAATCACTTTTCTTTTATAGGGAAAATATGGTATATAAACTTGGGTTCATTGTTCCATGTCAGGGACGTGATTATTAAAAGCGGTGTTATTTCTATTTCGGCGAGCGAGCGTAGCGAGCGAGCAACATTTTTGTAATGATAATTGGTTCATAAATTTCAGATTTTTTTGTTGCAGGGCAGGGCTTACACAATCATGTCTAAGGTGATGTTAATTCCGTTTTGGCGAGCACGAGCACACCAAAACTTCTTTGAATAATGTTTGGTACATAATTATTAACTGGTTGTTGCAGGTTGGGGCGGGTACATTAGCGGTGTCAATTCCATTTTGGCGAGCGAGCATAGCGAGCAAGCAAAAAAAATAAATTCTCTTTTAATAGAAATTAATAAATAAACTTGTTTTTATTGGTGCAGGTCAGGATGGACGCAATCGCGTTTAACGCGATTCAATTCCTTTTTGGCGAAAGGGCGAAAAAACTCTTCCATTTTTAATGATATTGTTGCAGGTCAAGGGTGGGCACAATAATTGTTTCCAAAGCAATGTCTATTCATTTTATTCGCGAGCGAGTGTAGCGAGCGAGAAAAATGAATTAGTCTCTTTTAGTAACACTTAGTACATATATTGTGTGTTATTGTTGCCATGGTTGCAGGTCGGGGCCCGTCTGGGCAGGCACAATTGTATTCTAGGCAATACTAATCCTTTCCTTTTTTCAGGGGGACGAGCAAGTGAAAACATTTAATACAAAATAGGCTAGCAAGGAGTTCGCGCCAGCGAAGAGTTTCACATTTGTTATATCACTTATATTTTCCTATTTTCATTTGTTTTAATTTTTCAGGGCCGTATGCGGAATATTTTTCTGGTGGGGGAGGGGGAAAGATGCGTTAAAAGTTTCGAAGAATCTCAAAAGCAAAAGGAGTGAAGGGAGTTCGAGCGATCGAACTGGTCATGAGGTTACTTTTGCCCCCCCCCCCCGGTGCGTACGGCCATGGTCTTTTTTTTTTAATTTACCCAGTTTTATTCCGTTCCTTTTCTTTTCCCTTTTTCTTCCTTTTCTCTTCTTCTTCCTTTTTTCTTTCCTTTTTTTCCTTTTTTCTCTTTCTTTCCTTTTTTCTTCCCTTTTCCTTTTTTCTTTTCCTTTCCTTTTCCTTTCTTTTCTTTTCTTTCCTCTTTTTCTTTTTTCCCCTGGAGCCCGTCAGGGGGGGGGGGGGCACTCTGCCCCCCCCTGCCCCCCCCCCCCCATAGGTACGCCAGTGATATTATGTGGATATTAAGTCGACTTGACAAGATGAAATATCTCGTCATGTCGTCAAGTAGAATGGCATTTTAACGCTTCCGTACGCCAACATCCCCAACTCTTGCCCGGTCGACGATGGTTCCTTTGTCTCGCAGTTACTATTCAATGTGACGTCATATGTATATATAAATGAACATGATTGTATCGAAGCGCAGGCTGTGCACGAAGTCTTTGTTCAAGCTGTTTCTGCTGCTGGGCTTCAGTTGATTAGTTATGGTTCGATCGCCATGTGCCCGAAAAGATCGATGTTCAATTTGTATTATTATAATATTTATATGATATTGGATGGCTTTGAGTGTGATAAAAGAATATATTCCTCGATCTATCGAAATAGCGAGAGCAATATATTCTTATTATATCACACGAAAACAAAGCCATACAGTACTAGTAGTATTATCTATTACAGGCTGACTAGCAAAATAACACAATTCGATAATCAAACAACATTGCATCGACAGTTGAAGTTCCAGGATGACAGAGCAATATGAAAACAATATTGATTTGTCATCTGGGTACCGAGCTAAAGGTATTAAATACACTGTCTTATTGTCCCACTTGGAAGCCTTATATAAATAACAATAATAATTATTATGTGATGCGGCTTAAAAGTATACCATTGAAATTTGAATCTCTCTCTGTCTCTACCTCCAGTCTCTCGCTCTCTCTCTCTCTCTCTCTCCCTCCCTCCCTCTCTCTTCTTGAGTCCCATCCTTTTGTGCTTCAGACGCAATCACAATGGCTCCGAGTTGGTTATTGTCCAGCTTCAAACTACTGCATATTGTGCCATTCATATACATTGACAATTTCAAAAGCAACATTCAATGCATTGTGCACTGGAACACAACACCTCCAAATTCGCCCTTTCGACAATAGTTCCTTTGTGTCGCAGTTACTTTTCAATTTGACACAAATGAATATGACTACAGTATTTCGAAGCCAAGGCTGTGCACGTAGTCTTAGTTCAAGTTGTTTCTGCTGCCGGGCTTCAATAATAAAAAAAAAGCCATGCTTCGATCACCATTTCCCCGAAAAGATCGCATAGAATTATTATTAATATAATATGAATTTTTATTTGATGCAGGATAAAGGTATACCACTGATTTCCGCTCTGTCTTAACATCCAGCCTCTCACACCAACCCCCCTCTCTCTCTCCCTTCTTTATCTTCCTCCTTCAGCTCTTTTTTCATAGTAATTTCACATATTTCATTTGAAATTTGGCAGACTTCTAACACATTGCTCTACACAGTCTAGGACACGCTCGTTCATCTGCAATGTCTAGCCTGCCCTTCATAATGCCATCTACATACTCTATATTCAAACCCGAAACCTACACCATCAAATATCGCTTGAATTTATTTCCATGTTAAAAGAAGTACAATAATCGAAACAAAACATAATATGTCTAGGACACGCTCGTTCATCTGCAATGTCTAGCCTGCCCTTCATAATGCCATCTACATACTCTATATTCAAACCCGAAACCTACACCATCAAATATCGCTTGTATTTATTTCCATGTAAAAAGAAGTACAATAATCGAAACAAAACATAATATGTATATACTATAAGAGATAAACGACTGGATGGCCCTACCCCGCATCCACGAACATGATGGCGCTGTTCCATCGACGGGTCCAGACTTACAGCACATGTATATATAAATATGATATCGAACGTTTCTTTACACAAACTGATAATTAGTAACAAAGATACATATAATACAATTCGGTAACATTGTTCATTGGAAGAAAATGGTGCTATTAAAGGTACTGACTTCGATGATAAATGTACAGTTATAGACAATCTGACATTTTGAGTAAAAATAAACCATTTCTGATGAAAATAAATTGGGAAAAACCGATGTGATTGATTCCTTAATTCTCCAAACTATATTACATTCCATTTTTAAAACTATGTTTTTGGAGAAGCATTTTACTTCCATTGTCAACAGCAAGAAACTATATCTAGACACCTCAGTTTTTCTTACAATGACCGTTTGTTTCGGGTTTCGTTTTTTTCTGGGATGCATTCTATACATACATTACGTGTATAATATTATGTAATGCAAAAGGAAATGAGAGAATAACGGTTGCGTTATTCTTTCATTTTCTTTCATGTTACTTTCGTTTCCAGGAGAAGTGCATAGTTGTATAATTACGTTTGCTTTTAATTATATGATATATACTGTATGTATGTAAGCATGCATGTAATATGAAATTATACTTCACAGCGTCATTAGAAGGACATAGGCCTATGTAGTTAAAACATGAGTCATTAAGTAGACATGGTCATTAGCAGGGCATTTCCATGTCCTGTTAACGATTGAACATTATAATTACTGCCCTCTACGTACGTATTTAGGCACAATAAACTTCCAGCACTCCCTCATCAGTCATTTTATTATTAATTAATTATTTATATTGTTTTGAATTTAGGTTTAGGGTTAGGATACGGGTTAGGATTATATACCAGCTTTTTTATGATGTCTTGTTAATGTATAAGGGTAATATATAGATGTCATGCTAATACAACATGTAAGATTACGTATATATATTATATATATAGGCTTATATCATATATATATATATATATATACAACTAGAAATCGAGGAGGGCAGAAAACGAAAAACAAAGAGACAGCAAAGGAAAGAGGGACGGAGGGAGAGAGAGGGGGCAGGGAGAGA